AAAAAAAAAAAAAAAGAGAGAGAGAAAGGAGGATAGGGTAAGTGGGTAAATGTAAAGCACAGGAGAGAAAATAGGATGAGAGGAATCAGTATTCACTACGGAGAAACACCATGCGTACATTTCCCTAAAAGGAAAGAGGTGAAAAGATAAACCAGAAATTTCCCAAAGTTGCCACTAGGTGGTGCCATGAGATTAGACTACTTTGAAGACAGCGACAATTGAACGCGACCGAGGGGGAGATACATACAATCAGATGGCAGGCCAGTCACAGCGCAGGTGTCCCAGGATTTGTAGAACACCGTGCTGTAGGCTAAGACATATGTCATGTCAAGTTATTCCAGGAATACAAATTGAGTTTCACGTTTTTAAAAATCTATTTTTCTAGTTCAGTGTACTAACAATTTTTTGAAGCCCACATTCAATTATCTCAATACACACAGGAACTATTCTTAGTCTTTTGTTCTTTTTTTTTTTTTTTTTGGTAATAGAAATCTAACTCCCAACCTTGCACTTGCCAGGCAGGTACTGTGCCACTGAGCTGTATCTCCAGCTTGCTCTTCTTTTTAAAAAAGTCTCAGTCAGGGGCTGGGGATTTAGCTCAGGGGCACAGCGCCTGCCTGGCAAGCGCAAGGTCGTGAGTTCGATTCCTGGTACTGGAAAAAAAAAAAGCCTCAGTGGATCAATATCTAGGATATACAAAGAACTCAACACTAACCTCCTCATCAATAAATGGGCAAACAAATTAGACACCTCTCAAATGAGAAAAAAGTGTGCCATGTTTAGCCATTAGGGCAACGCAGATCAAAACACTTTGGGATTCCGTATCACCCCAGTCAGAAGAGAATGTTGTATTTATTTGGCAAGAAAAATAAATGCTGATAAGGACGCAAGGAAAAAGGGATGCTTCTACATGGTTGGTAGGGAAATAAACTAGTACAGCCTTGTGGAAATCAGCATAGAGATTCCTCAAAGTCCAAAAATCAGGACGTCATTTGGTATATTCATGAAAGAATGAAAGGCAGCATACTATAGCTATACTTGCAGATCTATATTTACTGCAGTGCAATTCACACTAGCTAGGCTGTAGAAATAGCTTAGAAACCATCAGTAGATGAATGGATAAAGAAAATGTGGTATATAAACACAGAAGCATATTCTAAAGTTTTTTTTGGGGGGTGGGGTACCAGGAATCGTAGTAGAATGTAATTCAACACAAAAAAGAATAAAATCCTACTATTTGCAGGAAAATGGATAGAACTGGATACCATCATGTGAAACAAAATAAGCAAGGGTCTTAGAAAGATAAATTGTATATTTTCTCTTATAAGAGCAATCTAGGGGCTGGGGATTTAGCTCAGCGGCAAAAGCGCCTGCCTGGCAAGCGCAAGGTCGTGAGTTCGGTTCCCAGTACCGGAGAAAAAGCCAAAAAAAAAAAGAGCAATCTAAAGAAAAACAAAAAAGGCTCTTAGTGCTGGACATGGTGATATACACCTATAATCTCACTACTTGGGAGGCTGAGGCAAGAGGATCAGAGTTCTAAACCAGCCTGGGCTACATAGCAAGACTTTTGTCTCAAAAAAAAAACAAAAACCCTCCTGGAAAAATAGGTATATATATATATAAGTTTCATTAATCTGACAAAGGTCATGTATCAAAAACCTAGAGAAAATATTTAGTGGCATAGTTGTATAAGAAATAAGGCAGCACCTAAGTCCACCTGGAAGTTCCACCTGGTCAATTCAGTAAGAAGAAAATGGTTGGTACAAAGGACTGAAACTGTCATTATTTGAGGATGACACTCTAGAAAACCAACGAATTCTCAAATAATTAAAATAAGAATTCAGCAAAGTTCCTTAAGTTAAAGTCAGCAAATAAAAATCAGTTGTATTCTTTATAGCAGCCAGAAATAACTTTAAAATGTGACTCTTAAAGAGACAGCAAAATATAAAATTCCTAATAATAAACCTAACAAAAGAAACGCATGTTCTGACTTTAGTTACACACACTTTCCCGACACGCGCTGCAACAGCAGGAAGGCATTACCAAAAGGCATTCAGTGGAGAAGAATGTAACCACGATTAGAAATGCTTACCATTAGATGCCATTTCTTTCCAGACTCATTTATGTATAATTTCCAAAGTCTCCAAAGTTTTTCCTCATACAATTTAAACTAATTCTAAAATATATACACAAAAATGAATACACAAAACTAGCTAGTTTATTATGAAAATAAAGGGCAAAAACTTCTAGGAAAAGCTCAATCAGGTATCAAGACTTGTTGGCTATCATCCTAGCACTCTGAAAAGCAGGAGGATTTAATTTTGAGCCCAACATAGGCAGTTTAAGAGCCCCTGTCTCAGAAATTAAAAATTAAAACAGGACAAGGGGTGTAGTTGTGTGAAGGGCCTGGGTTCAATCCTCAGTACAGGAAAAAATAAAAACACATCTGAAAACGTCATGTCACTGGCCCTTAGAGGAATATATGGGCCGGGGATATAGCTCAGAGCCAGGGATATAGCTCAGCAGCACAAGCGCCTCCCCGGCAAGCACAAGGTCCTGAGTTCAATTCCCAGTACAAAAAAAAAAAGAGGAATATAACTGTTTCTGAAATCCTTTAATTCAGGTATCAGCAAACTAGGTTGTGCATGACACCCAGCCTGCCACCAGTTCGGTACCAGCGATTTAAGAATCCTTTTAGTGCTTTTTAAAAACCAAAACATTCATCACAGTGAAAACTCTATGAAATTCGGATGTGCCTGTAAGTGGAGTTGTGTCGGAACATTTACACATCTTGTAGCTGCTTCTGCACATTTATAGGGCCACAGATATATACAAATATGAAGGTCATGAGTTCAATCCTCAGTACTGAAAAACAAATAGTAAAATGCTCTATAGGCAACTATACCTAAAAATGTAACTTTCACTTTAATTCAATAGATAAAAATGCTATAGTTTAAAGAATAATAAAGCTAAATCAGATCTATTGTTAGGTACAAAGTAAATCAGATAACCAACATACAGCATCTTAAAAATATTATTAATTATGCTTTCTCTCTCCGTAAGGCCTAGTAAGTGCCAAAGAACTGACTTGTGAATTTTAATGAACTGTTCTGTCACATTCAGTTCTGAAAACTGACCTGGCGTTCCCTTCGTGCAAGCATGCATTCAGGGGCTGCTTCATCTAAACTCCAAGCCTGTCTCAAGCACCGCTCCCTTACCTCACCTCTCAGGCCTCACACGGAGTCCCCTTCCAGCCCGAGTTTTTCCTCTGGCCTGAACTCACCAGGCAAGAAGACCCTTCTCTCTCGTCCTCTGCCTCTTGGATTTTCTCCTGATGAAGTTTAGTTCATGTCACTAAAGTCTTGTTCACCAAGTTCCTAAAATACTTTACTCGATGCCTAGT